CAACCCCAGGCCGAGCGGGAGGTCCAGCAGCCCCTTGACGACGCCGTGTTGCTGACGACCGCTCTGTACCAGGCAGCCCTTTTCCTTCCCCTCCGTGGGCGGGAAGCACATTGCGAAAACCCTGAAAAAAACCAGCAAGGCAAGTATCACGTAACTCTGGAATTACATTGTTTCCAGATTTTCCACGGCTACCAATTTCGAAACGACATGCCCCCCGAGTTGAATGGGTCTACGGCTGGTGCTTCCCCCGCCCACATAATCATTTGGCTTTGGAGTTAAGGCATTCCTTAGGCCACCATTACCCTTCACCCGGCGGGGAAAAGGAAGCAACCGAGAAGAAAGGGACACGGAAGGAACGAGACGGAAAAGGACACGAAAAGAACGGGGAGGGAAATTGGAGGACACGGGGGGAAAACTAGAGGGAAAATGCAGGGGAGCGGAAAGAAACGTGAGGGAAACGGAAGGGAAGCGAGAGGGAAACGGGAGGAACCCGAGAGGGAAAAGGTAGGGGAACGGAAGGAAACGAGAGGGAAACTGACGGAAACGAGAGGGACGCGGAAGGAAACGTAAGAACATGAGACGGACAAGGAAGGGAAACAGACGACATAGGGAGGGGAACGGAAGGAAACGAGAGGTAAACGGGAGGAAAACGGAAGGAAGCGAGAGGTGAACGGGAGGGAAATTGAAGGAAACGAGACGGAAAAGGAAGGAGTTCGGAAGGAAACGGGAGGGAAGCGGAAGGGACAACGAAAGTCAACGAGCAGGGGAACGAAGGGAGACGGCAGGAAACGATAAGGAAAAAGACACGGAATGACAATGGAAAGAAACGGAAGGATACGGTAAGGAGACGGAAGGAAACGAACGGGACACGGACACGTAAACAACAGGGAGGGAAGCGGAAGGAACCGAGGAACAAAGGACACGGAAGGAACAGAGAGGGAAAAGGGCACGGAAGGAAAAGGGAAAAACACGGACGGATCCAAGAGGGACAAGAGCACATAATGACAACCAGACAAACACAATTAAAGAGAGGTTAACCAGGACACGGAAGGAACATGGAGGGAAATGGAAGGAAACGAGAGAGAGGGAGAGAGAGAGAGAGAGAGAGAGAGAGAGAAAAGGACACGGAAGGCAAAGGGAGGGAAACATTAAGAAATGGGCGGGCAATGCGAGGAAGAGGGAGGGCACCGGGAGGAAATGTAGGACAACGGACGGGCAAAGGGAGGGAAACGAAACGAAAAGGGAAGGAAACGGGAAGAAGAGGGAGGGCAACATAACGAAAAGGTAGGGCAACGGAAGGGAAACCAGAGGGGCACGAAACGAACAAGGAAGGAAACGGGAGGGAAAGGGAGGGACACGGGAGGAACAGGGAGAGAAATGGAAGGAGAAGGAACGTGCGCGGAAGAAAATAGCAGGTGTACGGAAGGAAAGGGATGGAAACGGAAGGCAAAGGGATGGAAAAGGGAAGGCAACAGTGAGGGAATTCGTTCCGACGCACCGAACAATGTAATTTGTCTTTCGGCGGAAGGCCAGCGAGAAGCGGCGGAAGTGAAACTGGCGCGGCTCCACCAGCGGAAGGCCTGCGGAAGCCCGCGGAAACAAAACACGCTTCCATACAACATGCCGATGTTTATGGACTCATGATTTCCGGATTGTGCTCTTAGGCCCAGGGTTTCTTGGGTTTCTGAGTTTTGGGGCTCCCCGCTGGGAGGCCCCATAATGACCCTGCTGTCCCCTCGTGTCCTCCTTTGTCGTGTGTCCTGCTGCACCCCTCGTGTCCCCTGATGCCCACTCGTGTCCCTCTCGTGCCCCCTGCTGTCTCCTCGTGCCCCGCTCGTGTCCCCTCCTGTCCCCTCGTGTCCCTCTCGTGTCCCCTGCTGTCCCCTCGTGTCCCCCTCGTGTCCCCTGCTGTTCCCCTCGCGTCCCCCTCGTGTCCCGCTGGCCATCTTGGGCCGTCATAGGGCCTCTTGGGCTGTCTCCGGGCCATCTTGGAGGCCTCTTGGACGATTTTGGGGCGACCTCGGGAGCCTTCGGGGCCGTCTTGGGCCGACGGAACGCCCGCAGCGAATGCCAAAATCCTTAAACAGAAACCTTAGGAACATCACAGGTTTTGGCCTCTTCGGGCCCTCCTGGAGGACCTCTTGGAGGCCACTGGGGCCGTCCTGGAGGCCTCTGAGGGCCTCTTGGGCCGTCTCGGAGGCTGTCTTGGACCATCTTGGGCGGGCTTGGAGGCCATCTTGGACCATTTTGGAGGCCATCTTGGGCCAACGTGGCCATCTTGGAGGCCATCTTGAGCCGTCTTGGAGAATGTGTTGCGGACGTTGAGGTCGTTTCCGGTCCTGGAACAGCCTTCCGGGACCCCGGCGGGACGGGCTGAAGCCCCAGGGGGAGTTCTTTTGGAAAAAGAGCCAAATCCAAAACCGAAATAATCTAGCACGCCAGGCACCCCTGCGATGAATCGACAGGGGGCGGCGGATCCTAGTGGCCTTCAGCCCATCCCGCCACCATGCGCTCCCGCCCTCGCTCTCGCCCTCGCTCTCGCCCTCGTTCCCGCCCTCGTTCCCGCCCTCGTTCCCGCCTTCGTTCCCGCCTTCGTTCCCGCCCTCGTTCCCTTTTCCCATTCATATTATTACTTCACTATTACTACTACTCTTCCTAAGTATTACCGCTATCACCCTTACATTATTGATTTGACCACAATAATTTATTTCCCCAGGGAAAATCGGCTCCTGCCATATTTTCAGAAGGAGTGGGAACACCGAGGAGGGAGGACGCGGGAGGTGGTGGAGGAGAAGGAGGCTGAGGATGATGAGGTGGAGGCGGAATGGTAAACGCGGAGGAAGCGGGAAGGAGGGGGTGGAGGGTGGAGGGATAGGAGGAGGGCGTCCCTGCGCAATCGCGCGGGCCGCGCGGGGCGCGCCGCCGCAAGCCCCCGATGGTCGACCTCGCGGAGGCTCGGGGCCCGGCCTTGCGCGGCAGCGCGCCTCCTCCTCCTCCTCGTGGCGCTGGGTTCAGGCCAGCGGGGGGCGTCTCCTCGCGCGAACGGCGAACGTGTCCATATCCACGCCCTCGAGGTCTGGGCTCTGGGGCGCGATCCCGTGGGTAGGCGGTCGCGCGGATACGCTCCGCGCGGGGGGCATCCGCGAACAGAAGCGCCCCGTATGCACGGGATCGCGGCCCGCGGGCCAGGGCCCGCGAGGCCGTGGATCGGAGGGGAGCGGGTGAGGTCGCAGCGAAGCAGAGAGCTCCCCACCATGACATCGGTTTCGGTTTCGTGTCGTGCGTGCGGGCGAGGCGAAGCTGCGTAGGCGGGCGAAAGGAATGAATCCTCACTCGCTAGGGCGCCGCCGGGCCAAACGACCGCCCCCCCCAGGTTGACCAGCGGTAGCCAGGGGTGTCCCGCCGTGGTGTCCCGATGATGTCCCGTGGTGTCCCGCGGTGGCCCGTGGTATCCCGTGGCGCGGTGTCCCATGGTGGCCCGTGGTGTCCTGTGAGGTCGATCGTGAGATCGATATTGTGATCGATGGTGAGATCGATCATGAGATCGATAGTGATATCGATAATGGAAGGGATAGTGAAAGCGTTTGTGAGATCGATAGAGAGATGCATTCTCATATCGATACTGAGATCGATAGCGATATCGATCGAGCGATGTCGGTTGTGGGATCGATAGTGAGATCGATAATGATATCGATAGTGAGATCTATTGAGTGAAACGTCGGTTTCTCCGCCCGACCTCCTGCTTACCTGAAGGGTGGCCGTATAGGCACGGATATTTGTCCCACCAACGATCTTCCCTTATCCGAAGGAGAGGGGTTGGAAGGTTGCAGGCGATCTCTGTCCCCCCCTCCCCGATCCCCCCATTGATCGGTCCGCTCAGAGGGGAGCCCGAGGATAGCCCCCAATGGGGGCTATTGGGACGCACCCCCATCGAAGAGGGCGCTCCCCCATCGTACGTCCCCGAAAAGTCAGGGATCGGAGTCGCCATATCTCACGTTGGGAGGAAGGGAGGGCCGGAGGGCTCTCCGTCGCATCTCCCTCTCTCTCTCGCGCTCTCTCCCTCTCTCTATCGTGGGCTTGCGTATGCTCCCCGTCATGCCTATATATTCCCCCCCCTTGCGCATGCATCGCAATTCCGAAGAAAACGGTCAGGTCTGAGTCGCACTGTTCACTCACGCCTCAGGCCCCTGCCTTTGGGGAGCGATGTTGGGTGAACATTTCGCGTAGCGTATTGCCAACGCTGTGGAAGGCGTGTTGGAGATTATTTTCCTCTCCGTACCAAGGCACTATGCCATGTCCTGTTCTTTCCTGCGGTGCTCCTGCTGAGAACGCTGCTGCCCTGCCTCCCCCTTTCCACACCTTACATGCGGCGTCCTCTGTGGTGACCGCAGCATCAAACCCAGGGAGAGCCGGAGTCCACTCGGGGCTGCCCGTGCGTCTCCGAGGCTGGTCGGCATATGTGCTCTCGTGCTCGCCGCCCTCTCCAACTGCTGTGGCACGGGCGCCCGAGGGGCTCCGCACCCACACCCTGCACCCCCTTTCGCTGGAAGTTCGAGGATCGAGGCTTTCGGGGTCAAGGATCCAGGCTTTCGGGTGTTTCCTGGTATTCGGGCTTTTGGGGTATTCGGGCTTTCGGGCGTTTACGCCTGCATGGGCTCCCCCGTTGCCACGGCTGGATCCGCCTCGAGGTCCCAGCCAGAGCGCGCCCTTGGACAGACCCAATTTTTAGGAGGGCTCGGATGAGCCTAGGACGAAGATAAATCGTTCCAGAGCGTCCTGGAACGCTCTGTGAACGGCCGCGGCGCCCGATGCACCGTCAGCTATTCTCGATGTCGTCTCAGTCTGATGTTCTACCTTCTTCCCTGCTATCGTCCCGAGAATAGCGGGCTCCCTTTCTGCGTCTGCGTCTGGCTGCGGTCCCCGTGGCGGCGACACGGCGCGAGGTGGTGCTTCTGTTCTTCGCGACCTTCCTTGTCGCCGCCGGCGCGTTCTTCGCCACGGTGGGCTGCCTGCTGGCCTGCCCCGATCGAGATCGTCAGATGCCGCTTCTTCTCTCGGAGGCAGTCGGCTACATTTTTTGCTACTACCAGCCGAGAAGGGCCCTGTGGCATGAGGCCGTCGGCTACAGATCTGCAGTTAGTCCCGGTCCGGCAGGGTCTCTACGTTCCTTAGTACCAGCCGAGATGGGCCCTGTGACATGGGGCCGTCGTCTACAGATCTGCAGTCAGGACGATGAGATGAGGAGCAGTTCGGGTTCGGCAGGGGTTCAATGTTCCCTCATGGTAGCGCGATGACTGTGCACCGATCCTGGCCAGGCCCGCCCTGAGCCCTGAGCCCCTGATTTGCGTGCCTGGGCCCTGGGTTGGCGGACGGCGCTTTCACCGATCCTGCGCCCAGGATGGGCTTGGCCACGGTCGGTGCAGGTGCGCAGTTGGCGTCCTCCGATTTCTTGAAGAGGAAGAGGAGGGAGCCACCAACCGCCAAGATGTTGAGGCTTGTAAGTGGCTGTGCGCCGACAGGTCACGAGATCGGGGACTGAACCTCAGCTCTCTTCATCCCTCACTTATTCCCCAACCGACAGGCTGGGGTCGTTCGATTCTTAGAACAGACCTCCCGACCCGTCCACTCGGCATACCACGCCCGCCAAATCCGCAGGCTCCCGAGTATCCCCGAGAATCCTTCCTCGCGCCACTCTGCCTACCGCGGCCGCTAGATCCCCAGGTCCCCGGAGTGTCCCGCTTCGCGCCGACAAATCATAACATGACAGAGCGGTATTATAATATTGCAGAACATAGTACAGAACAACACGATAAGCTATGACAGAAGGGAGCAAGGCACCACACCACCTATCGTAACATATCCGAGCGTAACATACCAACTCATTGCATAACATATCGTAGCATAACACACCATGACAGAGCAGTGATGCCAAAGCACAGCATCACAGCACATAACATCCCGTACCATGACACAGTAATCATACCATAGTAACACATCGCATAAGTGAACATACCAGAACATACAATGTGTATGCCTCAGATAGCATGGCATATCATACCATATTACAACTCAGCATGACAAGGACTGACATGACAGGCCGGATCACCCACACACGCCATACCATATCATAACACACCATGGCATAGCAAATCACACCATCACATAACATGCCATGCCTTCCTACACCACACCCTAACATCTCATCGCTGCACATTTGACATGACATATCTCATCGTAGCACTGATGACACTTCATACTATGACATAACACAGCATACGATGTTACATATTTGGACACACACACACATCCTAAGACATGAGCTATGCCAGAATAGTTCATACAGCAGAGCATAGTACAACACCTCATACCACCAGATAGTAAAGCATACCGTGCCGTGGCGTGGCGTCCCATATCATAGCATTGCATACACTGTCATATCATATCACACCGTATCACCGTATCAACATACACACACTGCATACCAAAACACATCATGCCATGAAGAAGCGCGGCCCAACACATTGTAGCATCGCAACACAACATATATCATGACACCATAACATAACAACGCATAATCTCTCATATCATGCTAGAGCATAACATAAGATTGCATACCACAACCCTGTGTGAAATGACATCATGCAGCATGCAGGACACAGCATACCATAACACATTATGACACACATACATTGCACAGCATAGCATAGCGTAACATCCAGAACATACCGTTACACACATGTCCTTAACATTCCACCACATAGCACAGCGTCGCAGCATTCCATACTATGTCAAGTCATGCCATAACAAGATGACCTAGTGTATTGCAATACTATCAAAGGTGACGTGCGCGCCGGGGTCAGGCTGGCCACAGGAGCAAACAGGCGCAGCAACGCGCGATCGGGCGACGTATCTATCGTGACAGGCGTCACGGCGTCACGCCGGCCCGTCGAGAATAGAACAGTTGTAATAGAGCACAACGTACTATTACATTCTATCAGCAGCGTAATTCAGCGAATCGAGCACACCATAACCAGCATACCATAGCAGACTTGTTGTACTACTGCTACCCCTACGTTAACGATATATGTATAACGTGATTGGCGATAACCTCGTGTAGTATACTATAACAAATTGAGCATAGCCTAAACCGCATCATATAACATCGTGGGCACATACCAGATCAGATCATTTCATATCAGTTCACACAGTGAGAGGGGGCCATCAGCGAAAGTCTGTCCTACTCTCGCAGCCTGCCCCGCAACAAGCATGGGGCCTAACGGGGCATGCCTCGGTGCTATATAGATGACTTGCGTGTATTTTAGAGTCAGTGCGCTGCCTTTTCCTTTCGGCACACGTCGTTATAGTTGAACGAGGCCTCCTCAGTGGCTCTCAGATCGCAAATCGAGCAGATCATCGCCATCACCACGGGTCAGCGCTTGCGTTGTATAATCACCATTGTCCCTGTGTGACTTCCGTTGCGATCCAAGACGCTACGCCGCCATGCGTTGCGCGACATGTTGGCGGGCAGCAAAAGTTGCACAAATGCTGGCGCGCATATTATTGCGAGCCCTCCCTCCCTCTTGCAATTGTTACAGTTGCCATGGGCGATGACATTCCATATCGACCTCAGATCCTCACAGAGAGGGATGGGCGCTGCGGAGCTCGTGTCTTCACCATGGCTGACGCACCAAGGTCCTCCCGATTAAATGCCATTAAGATCCACATGGCCCACTTCATAGAGGACGACAACCAGCCAATGCGCGACCGCAATCACTAATTTGAAGGACACGGCCGATCGGCGTCCAACCACTGCGCTCACAACGAAGACGGTCGCCCACCAACATTACCCATTCACACAAACAAAACTGCATCCGTAAACGCGGGATTCCACCACGCAGCCGCCCCAAACCCACTATTATATTCAACGTTTGCCATGCTGCCACGAGGCCAAGTGGCGCGCCAGAGACAAGACGATGTCAAGGGCGAAGAGCTGGACAACAAGTTCGTCTACATGCCACTTTGGCTTTGACGTGAACACCTACCTGTCCCCATTCGGGGGGGATGAGCATATGCCGCGCGCCCGAGCCACATCCGTCCCGCCTGCCATCCCGACACCAGCTTGAAGGACCTTCAGTTGCTGCACCAGCGACCCCACGGCACACGACAACGCTGGGGACAGGTGCTCTACCACAACGGCCTCGCGAATCATTGGGCACTACGACCATGCGATGTTCCCTATTGTAGGCCGCTGCAAAGACGACGCGGCAGTCGGCCTGTCGCATAAGGGCAAGGGGCACGCGACAACGGTATTTAGAATCATGCCAACATATGAAAGAGCGCGTTCTGTGGGCGCTTGGAGGGGGGGCGGGGTTGGAACCAGCCCCCCCCCCCCAGATGAGGGGGGGGCTCAAACCCCCCCTCCCTCGGTCCTTCCCTACTCCTCCTCTTTCCCTCTCCTCGGGCCAGCGCCGGCGTCGGCGGCTGCTGGCGGTGGCGGCGGGAAGCGTCGATGAAGACGATGACTTCTTTTTCTGGGCGGGCGCCAGCGCATGCGGCGGCTGGCGGCGACGGCGGGCAGCGCCGACGAGGACGACGGCGAAGACGACGACGGCGACGACGATGACGAAAACCGACGACGACGGAGACGACGACGACGGCGACGACGACGACGATGACGACGACGAGGACGACGACGACGACGACGACCCCGACGACGACGACGACGACGACGAGGACGAAGACGACGAGGACGACGACGTCCACGCCGCCCACGCACACAGCAGTGTCTGCGGGCATTGGTCACGGTGGTGATGGTTGTGGTGGTGGTGGTGTGGTGTTCTCTTGTTGTGGTGGTGGTGGTTGTGGTGGTGGTGGTGGGGTGGTTTGTGGTGGTGGTGGTGGTTTGTGGTTATGGTGGTGCTGGTGGTGGCGGTGGTTGTGGTGGCAGGTTGTTGTGGTGGTGGAGGTGTTGGTTGTGGCAGTGGTGCTGGTGGCGGTGTGGTGGTTTGCGGCCGCGGCGGCGGCGGAGGTGGTGGTGTGGTGGTTTGTGGTGGTGGTGGTGGTGGTGGTGGTGTGGCGGTTTGGTGGTTTGTGGTGGTGGTGGGTGGTGGTGGTGGGTTGTGGTGGTGATAGCGGTGGTGGCGGTCGTGGCGGTGGCGGTGGTGGTGTGGTGGGCTGCTTTGGTGGTGGTAGTAGTGGTGGATTGTTGTTGTGGTGGTGGTGGTGGTGGTGTGTTGTGGTGGTGGTGGTGGCTGTGTTGGTAGTGGTGGTTGTTGTTTGTGGTGTTGGTGGTGGGTTATGATGGTGGTGGTGGTGCTGGTATTGGCGGTGGTGGTAGTGGTGGCGTGGTGGTTTGTCGTGGTGGTAGTGGTGGTGGGTTGTGGGTGGTGGTGGTGGCGGTGCTGGTTGTGGTGGTGGTGGTGGTGGCGTGGTGGTTTGTGGTGGTGGTGGTGTTGGGTTGTGGTGGTGGTGCGTTGTGCTGGTGGTGGTGGTGGTGGTGTGGTGGTTTGTGGTGGTGGTTGTGGTTGTGGTGGGTAGTGGTGGGTTGTGGTGGTGGTGGCGTTTCTGGTGGTGGTGGTGTGGTGGTTTGTGGTGGTGGTGGTGGGTTGTGGTGGTTGTGGTGGTGGTGGTGGGTGTGGCGGTGGTGGTGGTGGTGTGGGCTTGTGGCGGTGGTGGTGGTGGTGTGGCCGTTGGGTCTTCCCGTCACCGTGTCTTGGCTTTGGTTTGCTGTTCCAATGAATGCCTCATGGTGTCTCGTCAGAGGGGTCCCGAGGGCGTCTGAGGAGCAAGTGTGAGGGCTCCTGGGCGCCTCTTGAGCGTCTCTGGGGTTCCTGAGGGCCCCCGTTGGCTTTTGGGAAGCGAAGGTTCGATATGGCAATTCGTATTTTCCCGTGGCGGCTTCTGGGCTCTCTCTGGTTATCGTCGCTGCGGCTGCCGTTGGTGCTGCCAGCCGCCGCCAGCGCAGGCGCCAGAACCGGCACCGAGGATTCGAGAGAGAGGG